CTTACAATGAGGGATGTTGAGCATTTTTTCATATGCCTTATAGCTATTTGTATGTCATCCTTAGTGCTTTTTTCAACTCATTCTCCCATCTTTTAATAGGGTTGATCATATTTTTTCCAAATACCTTCTTGAGTTCCTAGTGTATTCTGGTTATCAGCCCCTTATATGATGCATAATTTACAAAAATATTTTCCCATACTGAAGGCTGTCAATTCACACTAATTACTGTGTCTTTTGCATACAGAAACTTCTCAGTCTGATGTAATCCTACTTGTTTATTTTGGGAATTATCGACTGTGCTTTGGGGGTCTTATTTAAGAAGTCTTTTCCTACCCCAATGTCTCCTAGAGTTTCCCCAAGATTTTCTACCAGTAGTTTTATAGTTTGAGGTCTTACATTCAGATCTTTGATTCATTTTGAGTTGATTTTTGTTAACGATGAAAGATGGGGGTTCAGTTTCATTTTTTTGCAGGTGGATACTCAGTTTTTCCAGCACCATTTACTAAAGAGGTTTTCCTTTTCCCAATGGATTGACTGGTATCCTTTGTCAAAAATCAGTTGGCTGTAACTGTATGTTTGGGATTTTATTTCTAGAGACTCTATTCTGTTTCATTGGTCCACATGTCTGTTTCTGTGCCAGTACCATGCTGTTTTGATTACCACAGCTTTGTAGTATATTTTTGCGTCAGGGAGTGAGATGCCGCCCACTCCACTCTTCTTGTGCAGAGTTGCTTTGGAAATATGGGGTATTTTATGATTCCAGACAAATTTTATGATTGTCTTTTTTAGATCTGTGAAGAATGTGTCTGGTACTTTGATTGTCATTGCATTAAATACGTAGATTAATTTGGGTAGAATTGCCATTTTGATTATATTAATTCTTCCAATCTAGGAACACGGGATGACCTTCCACTTTTTTTGTGTCATTTTTAATTTATTTTTTAGCTTCTCATAGTTTTCCTTGTGGAGGTCTTTAACTTCTTGGTTAGATTTATTCCTAAGTATCTTATACTTTTTGTGGCTATGGTAAATGGATTAATTTTTTTGCAGTTCTATCTCAGTCTGCCTGTTGTTCATATATAGAAATGCTATAGATTTCTGAATATTGATTGTGTATCCGGCAACATTACTGTATTCATGTACTACTTCCAGACATTTCTTCATGGAAACCATTAGGTCTTTTATGTATACAATTATGTCATCTGCGAATAGAGAGAGTTTATCCTTTTTTATTTGAATGGCATGTATTTTTTCCTCTTTTATGATTGCGTTGTTGAGGACTTCCAGTACTATATTAAAAAGGAGTGGAGAAAGTGGACGTCCTGGTCTTGTACCCATTTCTAGTGGGAAAGCTTTCAGCTTTTCTCCATTCAGGATGATGTTCGCTAAGGATTTTTCATAGATAGCTTTTATTGTGTCAAGAAATGACCCTTCTATGCCAATTATTCTGAGAGTCTTGATCATGAAGATATGTTGTATCTTGTCAAATGCTTTTTCTGCATTAATTGATATGACCATATGGTTTTTATCTTTATTCCTGTTAATATGGTGCATTATATGTATGGTTTTGCGTATGTTGAACCAGCATTGCATTCGTGGAATAAAGCCTACCTGATCATGTTGTATAATCTTTTTTATAAGTTGTTGAATGCGATTTGCTAGTATCTTGTTGAGAATCTTTGCGTCTATATTCATCAGAGATATTGGTGCATAGTTTTCCTTATTTGTCCTGTCCTCATCTGTTTTAAGGATAAGGGTGATAGAGGCTTCATAGAATGAATTAGGGAGAGATTCACCCTTTTGGATCTTTAGAAATAACTTGAGCAGAATAGGGGTTAACTCTTCTTTGAAAGTTTTATAGAATAGAATTCATAGGTGAAGCTATCAGGGCCAGGGCTTTTCTTTGTTGGGAGGATGTTTTTTATTACTGTTTCAATCTCCTGGCTTGTTATGGGCCTGTTCAGACTTTCTATATCCTCCTTGCTCAATCTTGGTAGATTATACGTGTCCAGGAATTTGTCTATCTCATCCAGATTGTCTTGTTTCTTGGCATATAGTTGTTCTTAGTATCTTCTAATGATGTTTTGTACTTCTACTATGTTGTTATATTGCTGGTTCATTGCAGATTTGACTCATCTGGTTCCTTTCTCTCTATTTCTTAATAAGTCTCGTTAATGGTGTTTCGATTTTGTTTATGTTTTCAAAGAACCAGCTTTTACTTTTATTTATTTTCTGTATAGTTAGCTTATTTTCTATTTCATTTATTTCTGATTGTATCTTTATTATTTCCTTTTTCATGGAGTTTTTTGTATTTTTTTGTTTTTGCTTTTCCAATTCTCTAAGGCATGATGTTAGGTGATTCATTTGCCTTGTTTCTGTCTTCATCTTATGTGCACTAATTGCTATGAACTTCCCTATTTACTATGAACTTCCCTCTTATGAATGCTTTTGCAGTGTCCCAAAGATTATGAAACTCATTTACTCATTGTCATTGGCTTACATGAATCTTTGATTTCAGTCTTAAATTTTTCAGTAGTTGTGAAGTCATTCAGGAGTAGGTTATTTAGTTTCCATGTATGTGTGTGTTTTTGAGGATTTTTCTTGAAATTAATATAAAGTTTAATTCCATCATGGTCAGAGAAGATACTGGATATAGTTTTTATGCCTTTGAATCTGTAAAGGCTTGCTTTGTGCCTTATCATGTAGTCAATCTTAGAAAAGGTTCCATGTGGGGGGGGGTGAGAAAAAAGTGTATCTCGTGGTTTTTGGAAGGAAAGTTCTATAGATTTCTGTTAAGTCCATTTGGTTTATGGTATTATTTAGATCCCTTATCTCTTTATCTATTTTTTTTTTTGTCTAGATGATCTGTCCAGAGGGGATAGTGCAGTATTGAGTTCTCCAACAATTAGTGTATTGCAGTCGATCTCCTCCTTTAGATCTAACAGTCTTTCCTTCATATATTTAGGTGCTCCTGTGTTAGGCACATACATATTTATAAGCGTTATATCTTCTTGATCTATTGATTCTTTTACTACAATATAGTGCCCTTGTTTGTCTCTTTGAACAGTTTTGTTTTAAAGCCTATTTTGTCAGAAATTAGTATCCCAACTCCAGCTCCTTTTTTGGTTCCCATTTGCATGGAAAATCTTTTTCCAACCCTTCACTTTCAGTCTATGTGTGTCTTTATTTATGAAGTGGGTTTCCTGTAGGCAACAGATAGAGGGTGTCTGTTTTGTTGTTGTTATTGTTGTTGTTTTGTTTTGTTTTGTTTTTTATATATTCAGCCAGTTGTGTCTCTTGATTGGAGAATTTCATACATTCACATTCAATGTTATTATTGATGTTACTGGATCTGTCCCGATGTTTAAGCTGGCTATTGTCTTAGTTGCCTTTTTTTCCTTTGTTTCTGTCTGTTAATTCTCTAGTTTTCCTGGAACAGTACTTTCTTCAGGGTTTCTTGAAGAGCTGGTCTGGTCAGGAAGAAAGGGTCGGATAAGCAGGGTGCTTGGCTTCTCAAGGTCTCAGATGTTTTTTATCACTTCAGAGGAGAAGAGGCAAAGGCAGTGAATTTACAGAGGCACAGAGGCCTGGAATGGCAATGG